GCCCCGCTTGAGCAGGGGTAGAGCAGGTGATCTCCAGAGGTCACTTCCAACCGTAACCGTTCTGTGAGTCTCACTTGTGTTTTTATGCTGCATGGTCTGCTTCCTGTCTTCATATCGTGTGATAAACACAGAGGGGTTTAACATGGGAAGAAAAAAGTCACACCAAGGGAAGTTTTTGCATGATATTTGAAGCTGGGTGGTGCAAATAAACAGTTCACTTTTTCAGTGTAATATTTAGATGTGTTACAGTTGAAATCGGATCTTTATCTTTTAAAGCAAAGATTTGCAGCCAACTTTAATCTTGGGGGAAGGGAGGAAGCAAGAGAGAAGTAAAACTAGTTCCTGGTTATGATTGTATACACTGATTTTAAGATGGTACACCTACACCATCGTGAAACTCTGAGGTCTGTGTTGTTAGTGAAAGCACTTTCTGTACCACAAGCCTTTTCTTGAGTTCTGTTTCCCTGATTACTGCTTTGGAGGCCTTAGCAGTCCTAGCATCATCCGTCTTGACCTTTTACAAGTATGGATTTCTTTTATTACTCGCGCAACAAGCACGAGCAAGATGCACTGAGGCCCAAGGTAAACTTCGTTGTACTCAGCATGTACTCTTCTTTACGGCTTGAACTCCCAGTGACTGCATTTTTCTCTGTCATCAGAATATATTGGTTATATCATCAGTGTAGCCTTGGAACATAAAATACATGCCTCCTTAACTCGGAATTGACCATTGTAACACTTAAAATGCTAATTTTCCAGGTACAAATGAGAAGGAGAGTTAGGCAAGAAAAAGTGCAGTCCCACGCTACCTTAAGTACCGCAGCACGGTGCATCTTGGAGGCAATGGAGAAGCTGTCAAGCCCTTTGATGGTAAATAGCACTTCTTTTAATCCATTTTTGCTTCACGTGTTTCTAAAACTTAGTAAATGTGCCATCAAAGGAGAAAGATAAAACTGTTCTTCCTTATGTTGTGTCAAGTTTAATTTATTGCACTATTTTTTCAACAGGATGCTAAAAAAATGCCACCTCTTTTGCCGCTGAGTTCTGTAAGTTGACCATGAGCCCCCATATTTTTGTTGCAGGGAACCCTCTCTCAGGAAAAAAGAAAAGCCCTCTAACATTTAGGCTTTATTTTTTCCCTTAGCCTCCAGACATAGATGAACTGAATGTTCCTGACCTTCAGCCCAAACGAAGAAAGGTAAGAACCAATAATGTCTTAAGATGAGGTAGATAACTTTTCTAATGCTTTATCACTATTAGAAAAATTTTCTCAAACCTCAATGACAACATACGCATCTAATCAAGTTAATATTGGCATCTATCTACAAGAGATGAAGGGCTGTAAAGATTACTCACGTTAAGATTTGTTATCTTTGTAAGTTGAGAGCAACGACTCTAGAACACACGAAGTAGTTTTATCTGTCCCCCTGTTTGGGGTGAAGCTGGCATATTAAATTCCTGTTGAGGAAATTTTTTCTCTTGAAGAAACGATCACAAACAGAAAAATAATGCTTGACTGGTCATATAGACTTTGTACGGACTTGGGTGTTCTTTAGGCACAGCAAACTATTTTTCTGCTTTTTATCACCATTCAAGGTAAAACCAAGGAAAATTGTTAATTTCTGACACTATAAATCTTATGCTCCTGAATTCCTATTTGGAGGTAGCACAGAATTGGTGATAGTGCTGTGGTAAAGCATGATTTCCTTTCATTTTGTTTAAAAAATGAAAACCGGTCATCTTTTTTTGGTGACTTTAATTAGGGGTGTCATTGGGTTTATTAAATTGCAAAACCCTGAAGGACCGCTTTAAGATGAGGTGACTGAAGGAAAGAACAGGATGTGGCACACTCTTCATCTTCTGTTCTAATGAGAAAGGGACAATGTCTGAAGAAGTTTCTGTGCTAATTCCTTGATTGGATGTGTAATTAAGTTTACAATCACTTGAGAGTTTGCAAACATGTCAGCTTTCCTGTGCCATCTTTTCACCATATGCCAAATGACAAAGGCATTGAGAAGTGAAGTCTATCATAAATATTATCCAAATAACTAAAAACAAATCTGGTGTGAACTCTCAGTTCTACTATAGAAATACACCTGTGATAAGGCATTAAGAAAGATCTGCCAGATTTGCAACAGAAAGCCTGAAGTTGTCAGCCACTAAATGAATGTTGCACGCAGCTGTCACTGGGTAGAAGGAGATAGATTGTCTCTTCATAATAATGGAATTCATAATGCTTGGCAGGAGAAGAGGGTAGCCCTTGATGAGAAGCAATTATTTGCGAAGGAGATGATTGTGTGTTTTCCTGCTGAAGTGAACGTGGGGTTGACAGAACACTTGTGCACTCAGGCTAAACTTCTGCAGCGGGTCGCAGTGATGTGGTATTTTTCTTATTTCAAGGAACTGTACCAGGCAAGATAGCTCTGGTGTATTAAATGCCTAACTGGGGGAATTAATATTTTTCTTTTTTACCTTTAAACCAGCAGTGAACCATCGTTCACTCGAAGGAGATTTGTGAGCTTCCATAAACGTATTTTATTCAAGGTTTTCAAAATGAGTGTAATAATTTTAGAAAGATATATTTTTGTACACTCATAGGTGGTGTGAATTCTGTTACTAAGAGTTGGGAGATACTGCGAAACTAAAGCTGCAATGTAAACCATTTCTGTTGGTATTGATTTGAACAATAGCATACTTGCTAAGACTGTATCTTCTGATCCTTAAGACTGCAGGTGGAGCCATTGGTAAATCTTTTAGGCTTCAGGATTTGTTTTCTGTTTGACAGTTCAGTTAAGTCAGTTCTGCAGAACATGCGGTGGTCTGTGTTAAAAAGTAACTCTGGTCTGTGAAAATGTGTTGAAAAATGAAGTCAAACCCACTACTTGATGTGCATCTAAATGCACATCTAAAGCATTGGATCATAGTTTAATGAATGAGATTATTGTAAGATTGACAGCTTTATTTTGAATGTGTTCTATTGTTTGTGTGACTTTGAAGGGGGAAATGTAGGGAATGTGAAGCCCAGAAGCCTGTATAATTAGTTGCTTAACGCTTTGAATGTTAAATTAATGAATTAAGCTATTTAAAAAAAAAAATCAGTGTGGGCAGAGGAAAAGATAGGAACATATAGGAACCCGAGTTATTTTAATTATGGTAGCCTGAATTATTTTGTCTACAAGCTAACTGCCACATTTTGAAATGGAATTCAGTCAGACTTTGGCTACTTAAATATAGCTTTATGGATTTTGTTACTGGTTTTCTGGTGATTTCCCTCTATAGGTTGAATGGCTTTTAGAATTTTCAAATTGTATTCACAGAGTGCCAAGACCGATGGGAGCTTTATAGTTCTGTAATTTGTTTTCATCAATAAATATTGGAATTATTTTGGGTAGACGTCAGGATAAATTGATTGCTGTTTCCCTTTCAAAGCTGGACTCCCAGAATGAGTCCCCGCATCCACCTGTAAAGAGACTTGTGAAACCAAGGTTAAACCTTCATTCAATGCGTCGGGTCCGGTATTCTAAACCAGCAAAGACTTCAACTCCTGATTCCAGCAAAATTTGCAACGGAGTAGACACAAAGTACCAAGTAAGTACATTTTTGAGTCCTTATACGCCTGTTTTTTTTGTTTTGTTTTTTTTTACAATCTTGGAATGTTTCTCAAACCAATTATTTTACTGTCTTTGCAAAAAGTACTGATAGTATGTTTGAGGCGAGCTTTAAGGCAGTGGGAACCATTGTGAAATAGATTGAGCTTTTATGGATTTAATTCTGTTTTTGGAATGCTCAGTGTCTTGTTGTTGTTTTCATGATGTGCTATTGAGTCACCCTGTGCTCAGTGAAAGAATATTAAAAGAGAGAAATGTTTTCCTTTGTATTCTCATGAACACAGAGCTGTCACTGCTGAAACATGCTCATGTTCTGTGTAAACTATTTCAGGTGAGCTATGTGCTCCAAGTGAGAGCTGACAATGCACTGAGTTATCCTTTTTGATTGCTTTGGTGTAGATGGAGTCTGATAAATTTTCCATAAAATTAAATTGGCATCTCCTTCTGCGAAAACACCAATGTTTCCAGTATCAGTCTGAGCGTACAAATGACGACGTGTTAAATGTATGGGCTTTTTAGGCAGGAAATCAAAGTGAGCAGTCATACTGGTTACTTACTGCTTTTAAATCTTTCCATCTCTGTATTGTTTAGCCAGCACAATCTCCATTTGGTGAAGTTCTAGACCACATGTAGCAGCAACTGCTTAGTTTTTAGGGGAGGTAGAGTTGGTTTTTTTTGTTTTGTTTATTTTTTTTGCTTGCTTGTTGATAAGAAATGATAGAAAACAGAAAAGTATGTCCCTTTTACGGGGTTGATAAACTCGGCCCCACATGTACACAATTTTTGTCATGTTGTTTAAAATAATTACTTTCTTTGGTAGAGAATTTGACAAATTTGATTTAGTGTTCTATCAGTTTGTCCTCAGTGCTGAGTGAAGCAGTGATGCTCACTTTAGCCCCAAAGTTTAACTGAACTGCATCCACAATGCTGAATTAGGGAACAAGGTTAAGTAGGTGAGGCGTATTCAGTGCTATAAAATTAAAAATAAATAAACTAAAAAAAAAAAACAAAAACAACACATAAGTGGTTTGGGTACTTGTGTATTCTGTATCTATTCAGCTAAACCTTGAAATAAATTTAACTTGCAGTGGATGAGAGAGAAGACTTCGCCTGTGAAACAGCAAGCAGAACAATGTGGAAGGTATGACATTTATTCATTTAAAACTTACTTGAAGGAAGAAAGAAATCTCCTTTTCAGTACAGTCTGCATGCTTGCCTTTTTGGAAAGGTGGTGACAGTTGTCAGTAAAAGGAATGGGAAATGCAAGGAAAATTTTGTATTTTGAGGGAACAGCGAAGTCCAGATTGTGTTTGAAGACCAGTGTAACTTTGAGAAAATTGTTGCTTTTATGAAAAGAATGAAGATGAACAATAATAAAATGACTGATACATGACTGATACACCACTTTTTATGCCAAGTTTATCTTCTGAGTAGGATGTGAAGATGGGAAACAAGGCAGGCTATAATGCTGTATCCACGGAAAGGCTCTGTGCTTTTGGAGGCCTAATTTTTTCCTTCTCTAGGAAATAGGGATCGTTTTGTAGTTTAACTAAATCTTTAGTGTTACAAATTTTGCTGTGACAGCTATTTCATAGTTGTATGTCAGTTTATTTATAACAAAACAACTTGTCCCTCTTAATGTTCCCTAGGGGAAAAGCTATTAGTTTTAGCTAGTTAATTGCTGGGAGTTTGAAAGCTCTGTCCTCATGGAATGATTCTTTCTGAAGTATTCTTTAGAAGGTAAAGTAGGCGAAGTGAGTCACAGGTTTTTTTTCTTTATTTTTAAGCAAAAACCTGGAAGAAGATTTATTAGTATTTATTTATTTTTAATGCTCCTTTCATGATGAAGTTAATTGTTTGCTCTGAGTTCACATGAAGACCCTGTGTTGTTTAGAATCATTTGAGGCCAAATGCTAACTCATCTCTAAAATAAAAAACTAAATCCAGAAGAATTAACTGAACTTCTTCTTGAGGAGACTGCTTTGTGTTATACTGCTTTCTTGGTTTAGGATGTTAATTAATGAGTTAGTTGGTTAGGGTTAGGATGAGTTATCCTCCAGATAATATTGATGGCTTTCCCTTCTGGGCAAATGGTGTTTGGGGTAATAACGCTTGAGTTAGGACATTTTGCACCCTACCTTTTTAGGGGGTTGCTCTTTTCCAAGAACAGTAGCAGGGAATTTTGCTGACTCTGCTCATCTGCCAAGCAATTCTTATGTGACCGTGGGCATTCTTTGGCTTGCAGAAAGAACTCAACGTTTTTGTCTTGGCATCTAAAAGTTCGACTTCACAACCACCACCTTTTTAGGGGTGGAAGCGACTGGCTTTAAGGTTCTGGTACAGGTGCAAACAGCTGCTGGGTTTTAATTATGTTTTTTTCAAACTGTTCTGAATTATCTTTGTTAGCACTCCTTTCTACTTCTCCATGTAGGAAGGAGATCCAGAAAACTCATACTGCTTTTGATTTTGTTGACACAGTCCATTGCAGTGCCCTACCTTTTGTTTGTAGAGTAGGTAGTGGTGGTAGTGTTTTTTGTGGTGCTGGTCTCTGTTGGGTGCCATGTTCTGGAGCAGGAGCACCACAATGATCTGCTGGCAAGAGTCCCTTTGGACAGCTGAGTTGGAATATTCAGTAAATCTCTGGCCCACCAATGCTATATATGTGTGTGTGTGTGTATACATATATATATATATAAATTTTTTTGTTAAGCCTGAGTCCAATTGTAGATCAGACTTGCTTGAAGGCTGACAATTGTCTTTGCCCCCTTGAAGCTGACAGGTGTTAACAGAAAGAGGAATATGGGCTATTATGGGCAAACGATACTTGTCCGAATAAAGACCTATTCTGATGTAAGACTTTTTTTCAGTGTTCTAATTGATTGACAGTTTGGATTAGAGAAAAGTCTGAGCATATGCCTTAGGGATCTGTCTTCCTCTATGCAGTCAGAGTGCTAAGCAGGCTGTTGTCAAGTATTTGACAAGTTTAGACCAGTTCTCCTCCTCAGTCTTCTGGAAGTTTGAGCTGGTGTCTTCCAGTGTGATCTAATGCACTTTTGTACTTCCTGATTGGCTGCAAGATAAGCTTTGATGTCACAGTTTTTCCAGGCAGACTTAATTTTCTTGCCATAGTGCTTTTATTAGTGCTATTCCCTATTTCACTTCTGGTTTGGGATATTTTTTTCCCTGTTTCCACTGAGATGAGGAAATCTTTCTGGTTTTGGTCTAGGCTTTTCTAAGTAACAGAAAAATGCCTTTGTGTGCCTTACAAAAGGGATCTCTATTCATGTCTGAAAAGACTGGAATGTTGGCACACCCAAACACCTCTGCTGTTGCTGCTGATGGCCACATGAAAGCCAGAGCTGCTTCTGAAGCTTATGCTGTATTACCTTGCCACACAAGTCTGCGGCCTCTCTGTTCTATCATAGCTGTTGGCAGCGTGTCCCGTGTGTGTATGCATATGAGCACTCTTTCTATATTTTCGTGAGTTGTTCTTTTATATCCCTGCAAAGATGCATGTTCATCGCAGAATCAGAGAACCAGTCCTGTTTAAAGGAAGCGTTGGAAAATAACAATCTAAATCAGCTCTTCTATTTCAGGTCTTCTGGCTTAGTCGTTGTTCCCGTATGAACGGTGCGCTTATGTATGTCCTTTTCATTGCTGCTGTTAATAAAGATTTTCCGATTTAGAACATCAAGTATTTACCAGCATTTAGCAACTTGTGAGACAGCTTTCGTTTTTTCTGATTAGCAGGTTTCAATTCTAGGACTAATAACAGCTATAATGTCTTGGAAAAAAATGGTCTGATTAATTTTTTTTTCTCTTTTTTTTTCTCCCAACTTCTGTACTGTTGTGTGACCAGCTACAGAAATGTGAGCGGTGTGAAATGTGAAACTACGAGAAATGTGACCAGCTACAACTTCGGTACTGCCGCATCCAATGGTCTGTCCTCAGGAATGAGTAGTGGAGGCGGCAAAATGAGAAGGGAAAGAGGATTACACTATTTATCCAGATCTGTACAAGAACAGGTAAGTGACTCTTAAATTAATTGCTGTGACTGAGATTGCTGAAGTCAGTAGCTAAGTGTGTCAGTTTTATTGCATCATAGTACATTATAATAATACCTCTTTAGTTTTGCATGATGTTTTCCTGGGGGTTTCAGAGCAGGCTCAATTGATTTACTGTGTTTGAATGCCTGAACTTTGCTTACATAATTTTGAAATTTTTAGTTCTGCTACTTTGGAGATTCTTGGAACTATAACGTTTCTCATTAGCAATTGAACGAGTGAGTCCTAAGAACAGAAGTAATGTTTTCGTGAAGGTTTGTGTAGTTTTTATACAGGAATGATGCTTGACATGAGTGCCAAGTATAAAAAGAAAAAAAAGGTTTAATTTTTGTTTCATATTTAAGTCGTATAAAAAGATACAGGCCAAGAGTTTGAAAAAGAGTAGTAGAAGACAGCATTCTGCATGTCTGCTAATGATGACTCAATTTTTGAGAATCACCAAACTCCTTGTGAGAGTTTTTTCTCATTTTAATCAGAAAAATCTATTCCATAAAACTGTGACCGTGAATATTCGGATTATTTTTTCTTTTACTGGATGTTATGTGAGGTGCCTGTAAGTTAATTTAAATACTTAATAGTAACGTAAATATTTAATTAATACTAAGTTAATGTTAAGTATTTAATTTAAAGTATTTACAATTAAATAGTTTTAATGTAAATGTTATTTATTAATTAAAGCATTTAATATTTAATATTAAGTATTTAAGTTTAAAAACATTAAATGGGACATTAAATGGTCCAAACATGATCCAAATATCCTAAGTTCCATAAATTTTTCAAATCAAAACAGTGAAACAGACGTAGGCTGCCTTATGCACTGAATATCAGTAGTACCTCCTTACGTCCCTGCCTAGTCATTTCTAAGTAGATCGTGATAGTACTGTTGAAATTTTGATCAGATTGTCTACGTCATTTAAAACATAACTCATCCAATCTTAGTAATCAAACAAAGTAAGTGGAAGGGATAAAAATGGAAGTTTTGAAAACAGCGTTTTCTGACTTTTGCATTTGTGTCCCGATACGTGGTATGGGCTGTATTTACCAGAATAGAGTCTTCAGTGCTGCTAGTCTGACTTTCTTTGGTGCTTTTTGCGTTTAGGTTGGTTGTTGAAGCTACCTGCTTCTTGAAACATGACCTTTTTCCACGTTCACTGCTGTAGTGACTTTAGAAACTTTGGCAACCTTCCTGCCTAATTTTGCAAGAGGAACGCTTTCTCATTTGTCTTGAGAGTGTACTCTTAATTGAAGAGGTGTGAGGGTAGTTAGAAAGGAGCTTCTCTAGAGCTCTGATGACCAAAGTATAGGAAAGGAAAAGAAAAATCTGATCTGTGCCTCTTTGTTCTGCACAGGTTTTGAGTTAACTTTCAGTGTTCTTGCTGTACAGTTGTTGAACAGAATATTATGTGGAAGCAGGCCTGCCATAAATTAAAAAGACCTAGTAGACAGAGGTGGGGAGATCAGGCTTTCTTCTGGAAACTTGCTTTCTCTGAATTTGCATGGGTTTTTGTTTGATTTCATTTTGTTAATAAATTGGGTGGGACAATGTGAGAAAGTAGTCTTGTAAAAGTACGTCTGGTAAATTTAAATTTTTCTTTTACAACTTTAGGAAGTGGAGGAACCAGTGCTACCGAAAATCCCCCTACCCATCGGTACTGCGTCGCTGCCTCAGTTCAATTTTAGTTTTGTTGGTAGTAGTGCTGTCTGGGCGTCACCAAGCGCTGTTTCAACAGCTGCAACGAGCATGGCAACTCCAGCAGCTGCGACGGGCATGGCAATTCCAGCAGCAGCAAAGGGCGTTGCCACTCCAGAGGCAGCAACGGGCATTGCAACGCCTGCTGCAGCGCTGGGCATGGCAATGCCGGCAGCAGCGACGGGAAGAGCGAATCCAGCAGAAGCAAAAGGCATGGGAAGCCCTGCAGAAGGAGCTGGCCTGGATAATCGAGCGGCGAAAACAGGAATTTCAAGAAGAGTGGAAGCGACAGGCACGGGCCATGGAGAAGCAGCGGGAGATATGGGAAGTCGCAAAGCAGATGCGGTTGCAGGAAATGCAGCAGCAGGCGAGGGAAACCCGGCAGTAGCGCCGGGGGTGGGAAATCCAGCTGCAGCGCCGGGGGCGGGCAATCCATCAGCAGCGGAGGCGAACATGACATATCTAGAGGAGGAAGAGGAGGCGGAGGAAGAGGAGGTAGAACAAATGACATACTCAGTGGCAGGGGGGAGCGTGACATATCCAACGGTGTCGGCGGGCGTGACATACCCAGCAGTGGCGACGGGCATACCTTATCTAACACTGGCAAAGAGCAAGACAAATTCAGCGGCGACGACTACGACGAGCATGACAAATTCAATGGCGGCGGGAGACATGGCAATCACGGCGGCGGGCCAGGTAAGTCTTTTTGCTGTCAGTACTTCTTCGGGTGAGTATGCCGCTTTGTTGCGAGTTGTGTGGTGCTCGTGAAGCTAATGAATGTTAGTTTGTGCTTGGCTGAATAAATTGGGGTCGCATGCCAGTTTGGGGAAAAACGCACAAATGTTTTGATTCTGCTTCTCTCAGTCTTAGACCTTGCAAACTTCTGTTTAATGCGATTGTGTAACTGCTTCAAATGCTGCGGGATTCGGGGGGGGAATGGGGTGTGCATTTTATGGCAAGCTATTTATACTGATTTGGGCGGGGGTAGAGTTAATTTTCTTCATAGTAGATGGTGCTGCGTTGCAGATTTGTGACCAAAACAGTGTTGCTAAGGCACTGGTGTTTTAGCTGTTGCTGAGCAGTGCTTGCACAGTGACGAGTCCTTTTCTGTTTCTCACACCGCCCTGCCAGCGAGGAGGTTGGGTATGCACAAGAGGCTGGGAGGGGACCCAGCCAGGACAACCGACCCCAGAGGACCAAGGGGATACTCCACACCATTTAGCATCATTCCCAGCAATAAATGATGGGGGAAAGAAGGGGAAGGAGCTGGGGGTACGTACAGGGTTATGGCATTCGTCTTTCCAGGTAGCCATTACTGTGATGAGTCATTAATGGTACCTTAAATTTAACAACTTCACTTCTTTGTTTCCAGTTCTTTTCCCTGTTCCACTTGAAGGGAGTGAGCGAGTGGCTGTGTGGTGCTTAGTTGCCTACAATGGTTAAACCACAACTTTATTGAAGTTATTAAATTAGAGGTAATGTGGTCGTATAAGCCTCGCATAGAATGAGCCTAGGGTGCAATAATTGGCATATTATTGCAATAAAATAAACATCAATCTGTTCCAGAGCAATTGAAATATTTTTGTATGGTTTGAAGTAGGTAGCTGATGTAATATGTTGAGGTGTTTGCTGAAGTTCTTGGAGTGTCACTGGGCTGAGTTTACCGTTCTTCAGCTTCCTGGTTTGCTTTTCCATGCATTTAGACCTAAGTAGCATCTCCAGCTTTTCCTCTGGGTTTCTGGAATTTGGTTGTGAAGATATTGTCCTATACCCACTAGGAAACTTGACTTTGTTTTATTACTACTTCTCTCTGCAAAATAACTGAAACATCAAGCTTTTCAACGTCACTGCAGGACTTGTGTTGGGTAGTGAATTCAGGTAGTTGTTGCTCTTAAATGTAAACCTTTAATTCTTTTGAAAATACGGATACAGCCAACAAGTAGTGTTAGAGATGAAAATGCAAATGCAGGACTGCTAACTGTGAAGTCTACGGAGGCAGAAGTGCTATCTACATTTCCTGTAAGTAAACTAATAAAGAAGCTAGACTTGTTTTCTTAGGCACTTAGTAGGCTGTTGCAGAACACTAAAGCTGAATCTGCCTTGATGGAGAGAACTATGTAGGCTTCTGGCTTGTAATTTGTCATTCAGCATGCATGCTACAAATGTGAAGACCAGCTTTCATCCCCCTACCCATCGGTACTGCGTCGCTGCCTCAGTTCAATTTTAGTTTTGTTGGTAGTAGTGCTGTCTGGGCGTCACCAAGCGCTGTTTCAACAGCTGCAACGAGCATGGCAACTCCAGCAGCTGCGACAGGCATGGCAATTCCAGCAGCAGCAAAGGGCGTTGCCACTCCAGAGGCAGCAACGGGCATTGCAACTGCCTGCTGCAGCGCTGGGCATGGCAACGCCGGCAGCAGCGACGGGAAGAGCGAATCCAGCAGAAGCAAAAGGCATGGGAAGCCCTGCAGAAGGAGCTGGCCTGGATAATCGAGCGGCGAAAACAGGAATTTCAAGAAGAGTGGAAGCGACGGGCACGGGCCATGGAGAAGCAGCGGGAGATATGGGAAGTCGCAAAGCAGATGCGGTTGCAGGAAATCCAGCAGCGGTGGGCGCAGCCAGTCCAGCAGCAGCAGCAGCAGCAGCAGTGGGCGCAGCCAGTCCAGCAGCAGCGGTGGGCGCAGGAAATGCAGCAGCAGCAGCGGTGGGCGCAGCCAATCCAGCAGCAGCAGTGGGCGCAGGAAATGCAGCAGCAGCAGCAGTGGGCGCAGCCAATCCAGCAGCAGCAGCAGCAGTGGGCGCAGGAAATGCAGCAGCAGGCGAGGGAAACCCGGCAGTAGCGCCGGGGGTGGGAAATCCAGCTGCAGTGCCGGGGGCGGGCAATCCATCAGCAGCGGAGGCGAACATGACATGTCTAGAGGAGGAAGAGGAGGCGGAGGAAGAGGAGGTAGAACAAATGACATACTCAGTGGCAGGGGGGAGCGTGACATATCCAACGGTGTCGGCGGGCGTGACATACCCAGCAGTGGCGACGGGCATACCTTATCTAACACTGGCAAAGAGCAAGACAAATTCAGCGGCGACGACTACGACGAGCATGACAAATTCAATGGCGGCGGGAGACATGGCAATCACGGCGGCGGGCCAGGTAAGTCTTTTTGCTGTCAGTACTTCTTCGGGTGAGTATGCCGCTTTGTTGCGAGTTGTGTGGTGCTCGTGAAGCTAATGAATGTTAGTTTGTGCTTGGCTGAATAAATTGGGGTCGCATGCCAGTTTGGGGAAAAACGCACAAATGTTTTGATTCTGCTTCTCTCAGTCTTAGACCTTGCAAACTTCTGTTTAATGCGATTGTGTAACTGCTTCAAATGCTGCGGGATTCGGGGGGGGAATGGGGTGTGGCTTTTATGGCAAGCTATTTATACTGATTTGGGCGGGGGTAGAGTTAATTTTCTTCATAGTAGATGGTGCTGCGTTGCAGATTTGTGACCAAAACAGTGTTGCTAAGGCACTGGTGTTTTAGCTGTTGCTGAGCAGTGCTTGCACAGTGACGAGTCCTTTTCTGTTTCTCACACCGCCCTGCCAGCGAGGAGGTTGGGTATGCACAAGAGGCTGGGAGGGGACCCAGCCAGGACAACCGACCCCAGAGGACCAAGGGGATACTCCACACCATTTAGCATCATTCCCAGCAATAAATAGAATCATAGAATCATAGAGTATCCTGAGTTGGAAGGGACCCTTAAGGAACATCAAGTCCAACTCTTGACACCGCACAAGTCTACCCAAAAGTTCAGACCACGTGACTAAGTGCACAGTCCAATCTCTTCTTAAATTCAGACAGGCTCGGTGCAGTGACCACTTCCCTGGGGAGCCTGTTCCAGTGTGCAACCACCCTCTCTGTGAAGAACCCCCTCTGATGTCAAGCCTAAATTTCCCCTGCCTCAGCTTAACCCCGTTCCCGCGGGTCCTGTCACTGGTGTTAATGGAGAAAAGGTCTCCTGCCTCTCGACACCCCCTTACGAGGAAGTTGTAGACTGCGATGAGGTCTCCCCTCAGCCTCCTCTTCTCCAGGCTGAACAGGCCCAGTGCCCTCAGCCGTTCCTCGTACGTCTTCCCCTCCAGGCCTTTCACCATCTTCGTAGCCCTCCTCTGGACACTCTCCAACAGTTTCATGTCCTTTTTATACTGTGGTGCCCAGAACTGCACACAGTACTCGAGGTGAGGCCGCACCAGCGCAGAGTAGAGCGGGACAATCACCTCCCTCGACCTACTAGCGATGCCGTGCTTGATGCACCCCAGGACACGGTTGGCCCTCCTGGCTGCCAGGGCACACTGCTGGCTCATATTCAACTTGCTGTCTACCACGACCCCCAGATCCCTCTCTTCTAGGCTGCTCTCCAGCGTCTCATCGCCCAGGCTGTACGTGCAGCCAGGGTTTCCCCGTCCCACGTGCAGGACCCGGCACTTGCTCTTATTGAACTTCATGCGGTTGGTGATCGCCCAGCTCTCCAACCTATCCAGATCTCTCTGCAAGGCCTTTCCACCCTCAATTGGAGTCCACAACTCCTCCAAGTTTGGTGTCATCAGCAAACTTGCTCAAAATACCTTCTATTCCTACATCCAGATCGTTTATAAAAATATTGAAAAGTACCGGCCCTAAAATGGAGCCTTGAGGGACCCCACATGGTGACCGCCCGCCAGCCTGACGCAGACCCATTCACCATAACCCTTTGGGCCCTGCCGGTTAGCCAATTGCTTACCCATCGTATGATGTTTTTATTTAGCTGTATGGTGGACATTTTGTCCAGTAGGATCCTATGGGAAACCGTGTCAAAAGCCTTGCTGAAGTCCAAAAAAATCACATCAGCTGGTTTCCCTTGGTCCACCATACGGGTGATCTTATCATAAAAGGAAATCAGATTAGTTAGGCAGGACCTACCCTTCACAAACCCATGCTGGCTGGGACCAATGACTGCTTTGTCCCCCAGGTGCGCCTCAATAAGTTCGAGAACCATCTTCTCCATGATTTTACCAGGCACTGATGAGACTGACAGGCCTGTAATTGCTAGGGTCTTCTTTCTGACCCTTCCTGAAAATCGGCACAACATTTGCCAGCTTCCAGTCTACCGGGACCTCTCCAAATTCCCAGGATCGTTGAAAAATAATTGAGAGAGGTTCCGCGATGAATGTCCGCCAGCTCTTTCAGCACCCGGGGATGAATCCCAGTCCGGACCCATGGACTTGTAGGGATCCAGGTGGAGTAGCAAATCCCGCACACGTTCAGGGTCGGTTGGGAGTTTGTCATCCCCACTGTCCCGGTCCTCCAGCTCAGGGCACCCTGGGTCCCGAAGCCCATCATCGGCATTGAAGACAGAGGCAAAGAAGGCGTTAAGTGTCTCTGCTTTGCCTGTGTCATTGTCTGTGAGGAGACCTTCCCTATCAAGGAGCGGCCCTATGTATTCTTTAGTTCTCCTTTTTCCATTCACATATCTAAAAAAACCCTTTTTATTTTCTCTCACAGCCACAGCCAGCTTCAACTCTAGGTGTGCTTTGGCCACACGAATTTTCTCCCTACAAACACGAACAGCATCCCTGTATTCTTTCCATGACACCTGGCCCTCCTTCCAGTAGCGAAACACTCTCTGTTTCTGCCTAATCTCCATTAGAATGTTCCTGGTCAGCCACGCCGGCCTCCTGCCCCGCCTGCCTGACTTGCGATATTTAGGAATTGTCTGATCTTGTGCTTCTAGGAGGCATCGCTTAAAGAATGACCAGCACTGGTGGACATTGAGGCCTTCAAGAGCAGCTTCCCAGGGGACCTTGCTGACTAGTTCCCTGAGCAGCCTGAAGTCCGCTTTCCCCATATCTAGGGATGAGGTTTTGGTGGCACTTTTCCTTCTGTCACCGTAAAGTTTGAACTCAACCACTTCATGGTCGCTATGACCGAGGCGGCCACCAATCACCACATCTCCCACCAGACCCTCTCTGTTTTCTAGCAACAGGTCTAGGAGGGCACCTTTCCTAGTTGGCTCCGTTAGCACCTGCACCGAGAAGTTATCATCTAGGTGCTTCATGAACCTCCTGGACTTACTCGTGTCAGCCGTGTGGCACTCCCAGTTAACGTCTGGCAAGTTGAAGTCCCCCATAAGGACAAGGGGAGTTAATCTCGAGGCCTCTCTTAGTTCTGTAAAGAATAATTTATCGGCGCTATCGTCCTGGCCAGGCGGTCTGTAATAGACTCCCACAACGACATCCCCTTTATTCGTTCGTCCCTTGATCCTTACCCAGAGGCTCTCAACTTTGCCATCGCCGACCTGGAGTTCCACACAGTCCAGCCCCTGCTTCACATACATCGCCACCCCACCACCTCGCCTACCCTGCCTGTCCCTCCTGAAGAGCCTGTAACCATCTATCGCAACACCCCAGTCACAGGACTCATCCCACCAGGTTTCGCTTATGCCGATGATGTCGTACTGCGGGACTGGGCCAGTACTTCTAGCTCATCCATTTTATTCCTCATACTGCGTGCGTTCGTGTAGAAGCATTTCAGGTGCGTCTCCTTACACTCAGCACCTTGTGGATCTGACCGAAGGACCTCACTGGCACACAGCCCCTCTGATTCTAGCGTACCATCCCTTAGGTCTTCACCGGCGTGCCTGGTTTTAGCCCCTTCCCCCTTCGACTCTAGTTTAAAGCCCTATCTATCAGCCCTGCCAACTCCTGACCAAAGATCCTTACCCCTCTCTGAGAGAGGCGCATCCCATCCGGTGCCATCAGGCCCTATGTAGCATAGACCTTCCCGTGATCAAAGAACCCAAAGTTCTGCCGGTCACACCAGTCTCGAAGCCACGAGTTTATGTGAACAGCACGCCTTTCAGCTTCGATCCCCCCTATCGGAAGGACAGAGGCAAACACAACCTGCGCCCCTGATCCTCTAAGTAGTCGCCCCAAATCCCTAAAGTCTCTTTTGATCGCCTTCGGACTTCTCATTGCTACTTCATCGCTACCAGCCTGAAAGACCAGTAGCGGGTAGTAGTCAGTGGGCCGTACCAGGCGCTTGACTTTCTTGGCAAAGTCTCTCACCCGAGCCCCAGGGAGGCAACAGACTTCTCTGCGGGTTGGGTCCGGTCGGCATATCGGTCCCTCTGTCCCTTTCAGAAGGGAGCCCCCCATAACAATAGCCCTTCTTTCTTTTTTGAAGGATGATGTGGCAATGCGATGTGTAGGTCGCCTTGTCTTAGGCGCCCCCTCCAACTGGGACGGGTTTTTATCTACTTTGTCATTCAGATTGTCTTGTTCTAGTCCTTCGTATCGATTATTTAAGGGTAGATGAGAAGGTGAGGTGGGCAGAGAGAGGGCTCGCCTACCACCCCGAATAGGCACCTGCCTCCATTCCCCCCCTTGATCTAGGTCTCCTCCCGCTGCCTGGCAGGAGGAGGGAACCTCCGTCTTCTGCATAACAGGAGACGCCTGTGCTGTGGCAGGCTCGTGAGCCTGCCTCAGAGAGGGTAGAGTGCACCTCCACCAGTCAATTTCCATCTCTGATTCCCTGATGCTCCTGAGCCTGTTCACCTCCTCCCGGAGCACCGCTACCTGGCTGAGCAGTTCTTCAACCTGGGCACACCTCCCACAGGCATACCCACCACTGCTGTCGGAGGCCGACAGAAGGCTGGGGCACACTCTGCAGCCCAGGACCTGGACGGCTGCGTGTTTCCCCGAGCCCTCCGTCTGAGTAGCCACACTGGTGACCGTGGCTGGAGATGCCGCACGAGATGCGGAGGCCACGGTTTTCTGCCTGGTTGATACCATGGTCAGGTTCTCCGCAAGCAGGTTACAAGCACCGAAGGGAGAGGCAGCTGCAACAGAGCGACGATGGGCCCCCCGCTCGCCCTGCCCGCGCTAACTGCCGCGCTAACTGCCGCGCTAACCGCCACACCCTGTTTGCCCGTCCTGGTCGCCGCGCTCCCTAGGGGCAACTTTTAAACAGCCTGGGAGGGGGCGCTGCTGGCTCCGCCCGCGCCTCGTCAGCCTCCCTCGCGAGGACTGCCGGGTCCCGGCGGCTCCCCTGAGTGGCCTCGATGCCGGACAAAAAGCCCTGCCCGCCTCGGTCCCCTGCTCCGCTGCAGAACACGTCTGCCCCGGAGCCCATCGCCTCAGCAAAAGGGGGAATGCTGGGGGAAAGAAGGGGAGGGAGCTGGGGGTACGTACAGGGTTATGGCATTCGTCTTTCCAGGTAGCCATTACTGTGATGAGTCATTAATGGTACCTCAAATTTAACAACTTCACTTCTTTGTTTCCAGTTCTTTTCCCTGTTCCACTTGAAGGGAGTGAGCGAGTGGCTGTGTGGTGCTTAGTTGCCTACAATGGTTAAACCACAACTTTATTGAAGTTATTAAATTAGAGGTAATGTGGTCGTATAAGCCTCGCATAGAATGAGCCTAGGGTGCAATAATTGGCATATTATTGCAATAAAATAAACATCAATCTGTTCCAGAGCAATTGAAATATTTTTGTATGGTTTGAAGTAGGTAGCTGATGTAATACGTTGAGGTGTTTGCTGAAGTTCTTGGAGTGTCACTGGGCTGAGTTTACCGTTCTTCAGCTTCCTGGTTTGCTTTTCCATGCATTTAGACCTAAGTAGCATCTCCAGCTTTTCCTCTGGGTTTCTGGAATTTGGTTGTGAAGATATTGTCCTATACCCACTAGGAAACTTGACTTTGTTTTATTACTACTTCTCTCTGCAAAATAACTGAAACATCAAGCTTTTCAACGTCACTGCAGGACTTGTGTTGGATAGTGAATTCAGGTAGTTGTTGCTCTTAAATGTAAACCTTGAATTCTTTTGAAAATACAGATACAGCCAACAAGTAATGCTAGCAGTCCTGCGTTTGCATTTTCATCTCCAATTGTGAAGTCTACGGAGGCAGAAGTGCTATCTACATTTCCTGTAAGTAAACTAATAAAGAAGCTAGACTTGTTTTCTTAGGCACTTAGTAGGCTGTTGCAGAACACTAAAGCTGAATCTGCCTTGATGGAGAGAACTATGTAGGCTTCTGGCTTATAATTTGTCATTCAGCATGCATGAATCTCCACTCCTTGCTCCACTGGTAGGGGCTTCTCCGAAAAAAACTCCACCCGCGCTTCCCCCCCCTCCCGCCCTCCAGGGTCAAACGCGGGGGGGGCTGCATACAGCGGCAGCCGGAGGGAGCCCGAAAACGCTGGCGCCTGCCCGGATGCCACCCCTGCCCCTTCAGGACCCCCGGCAGGGAACAGAATAAGGGAGCCCTTCTCATTTACCCTCCAAAAGAACCCATCCGATGAAGTATGTACAGTGCTCCCTTCCGCCCGAGGAGCACTAGGTGTTGCTATTCTTTCACGATCCGACCGAACTCGCAGGGGGGGCACAAAAGGTTTCCCACCCTCTTCTTTCTCCTGCTCCACATTATTTTCATCCCCCGATCGAGCCTCCTCCTTCGCCTGCCCTGACCCTTCCTTTAGATTGTTTTTTATCGGCAGCTCCATAGGAGCCTGCTTATTCTCACTGTCCCCATCGGACAAAAGCATGCGGTGCACAGTAGCCCACAGGCATGCCTCGTTGGCTACCTTTTCCAAAACCGCTCGCACTCACCCATAGGTCGGTAGTAAAGTCTGCACCTCTTTGTTCCCGATGCAAGCGCTGTCACATAAATCCCGTCCCACCGCTTCTAAAGTAGCCTGTCTCAGGCAATGAACAGGAGACCCCGCCAGATTCCGGCGTGTCGCCCAAAACAAGAGGGACCGTATGTCCTTCTTTCGTAAAGCTATTCCTGCTTCCTTGGCCAAGGATTTTAAAGTACTCACCACCTCATCGACTCCAGGCCCCATGGCCTCCCGCGTACCTAGCACGTACGCACCGCGCCTAACTCGCGCCAACCGGTTGCACGTCGGGGTTCGTATCACGTCGGGGTCACCATATGTAGGATATCCCGACCGAAAGCCCCTGGACAAACGGACACAACGACCAGCGTTCTGTGCCGTAAGCCAATTTACTACTGCGTGACATCATCTTATATAGTGTCAAAGCGTCCCACCCAGGAACCCAGGACCCCTCCCACTGTGCTCGCAGGCACCCCAGACCCCTCCTTTCGTGTACGCAGGCACAACCAAGAATAATCCCACATATTCTTGTAGAAAACTTCATCACGCTTGGAAGAAAAAAACATCTCAGCGAAGTAAAACAGAAAACTTGAATTGAAGCATAGTGGTTTTAGAAGAGTCGCTTCAAAGACTTGTTTAATTAAAAAGAAGAAAGAAAGCAAGTTCCTACTGCAATCCCATCTTCGTCAAACTGATGGTGGGCACCAATACAATGTGTTGAGCTAATACAGGCTGGAAGTTGTAACTGCAGCTGTGAAGTTTACCCAGTAAAAAGACTCTACAAGGCATTCTAGCAGTTCTGATGCAAACACAAGTTCAGGAAGCAGTGATTCATGGTTAACACAGCAGAACAGGAAGAAGTCTGGCATTCACTGTGCTCTTACAGTAAAGAACCTGCACTGCACACACCATCCCAATCCAGGTATGCACTCCTAACAGGAAAGGGAAATAGGCTAATAAATCTCAGGAGAGGGAAAAAGACGTCAGAGAACTACTTCGTAACAGCAGCACACAGACTGCAATCAACTTTCTCTTCCTCTCATCATTTTCATTTATGTAGACTACACGAGAATACACTCCCAACATTTTTCAGCTCTGGAGAACAAACAGCCCAACCAACCTCATTCACTGAACTACAAAACTGGTATCTGCACTATCCAGTCCAGAACAGAAGGTGCACGTCTCTATGCTGTACATTAGAGACCTTAATAGGCAAAGTCTGCATAAAATGGGTGGCCACAGCCTGATTTTTTGATGTTTATAGACTTGGGTCATACACCACCACAGTGTCAGACTAGATGAAATCGTCTATCTATGTGGGCCCCTCATTACAAGTCACATGTTAGGGACCAGCCTCTCAAAGGCCAAAAAACAGCACTGATACTTCACATTGTTTCTGCTGGGCCAACACATCTGTAGCACTACCTTTTCAGCTGACAACACAACGAGTGTTTCCACAAAGTACTCGATGCAACCTAACTACTGTGTTTGGTGATGCAAAGCAAGCCATGTCAAAGCAGGCACACACCTGGAAGCTGCCTTGCTGCTCACATTGAAGAAAATAGATTAAAAAAAAAATCGCACTACAATTGAAGTGGCATCAAACCTTGTAAGGCTCTGAAGCTTCAGCACTGCCATCCAAATTCAAGGAGGCTGCATCTATTACCTTGAATCTGCCCCAGCTCAATCCCCTGAAACAATTCCAAATACACATACAAGCAACCCTTTTCCCACCCAGATTTTCTTTGCTTCATCTATTCCACCTCTAACTCCTGTCTTATTAATCTGCCCCTCTAAAGACTCACTGGCTCACACAAGGAAGCAACCCACCAAGCCCCTGATTCCCCGCCACATTGCTTCCATGCTTTGGGAAGATCTAACTGCAACGGCTCAAACTGTGATGCCACCTCACCCACCTCACCCCCTCCGCCTACGTGAGGTTCCTTGCCTTCTGTCTCTTCCTACATGTACACCGGCACTAGAACCACGAAGAACATGTTTCCTGTAACACTCCAAAAGCCTTTTCTGTTTCAGGATGTTGTCATTTCAATTCAGGACTGAAAACACTCCTAGCAAAAACCCAACAGCTAATAGCAAACAGAAGCTGTTTCTGCTGATCAGCTAGAAGTAACCTCTAAGTACTGAGGAGTCACAAAGGAGAATTTGTATTACATTCAAGAACAGCACCCAGCTTACGACTGCTACTTTCCCTAACTACACTAAGCCATAAGAATTTGATTCTTACCTGCCATCACAGTAATTATGGTTTATATTGCCCCCAAAACACACAGGGCAGTACCAAAGCTGTGTCGGCTAGGTTTAACAGCTTCCACAGCTATTAAGTACAGTAATTTCTGCTTCCTTTTTTTTCTTGGAAGAATATTCTTTTGTTTCCAGCCTCAGTTAATTATTATATACACTGTTAATTAGCAACTATTTCTCAATACTCATAGGGTTATGGAGTCCCTATGACTGGAAAATACTCTACACCCTTCGAGATGAGAACAGCATATAAAGGCAGCAACTTGCAAGACCGCTCTAGCTTCAAGCAAAGCTTTCCTCATTGCTCTCGTCTCCTTTGACTTGAATACTGTCATCCTTCTACCAAAGCTTTATAAACTTCATTACCATGAATGAAGGAAGACCAGAGAAATTAGAGAGTAGCAGAGGATATAACTTAAGGAGCTGTTACTAGGATTATTTTTTTTTATTGTTCCTGGTGTTATTTTTCCTTCTTTAAGCCAGCAAACTGTTTTCTCCAAGATTTTTTTTGTTAGCTTAAGAATATGTATTATATTGCAGCAACTTCTTTGCTGTAAGTCAGCTGAGAAGTCTACCAGTAAGAAGGTCAAGGGAAAGCTGAATGCTGATGCAGAGTGCCAACAGACTTCATCCTCGTTCCATGGGATGTTTGTAGCTATGGCAGTTCAAGTCTACGCTTCCATATGCTTAAAATACCAGATTTAGAAGCCAATTTCAGCTGACCTAGCAGATATCAGCAGTACAGTTAGAGCCAGCAGCCTGCAGGAAGGAGCAGACAGGTGCTCCACAGCAAGGCCTGAAAGTGTCTCCCATACACACTTCCAATCTAAGCAAGCACATGAAGGGCTTGGCTTGTCACTTACCTAAGTGACCAGGAAAACAAGTGAAAACGAGATTTCGCTTGTGTCCTAACACCCATATAAAAATAAAGGCAGATGAAATACCCTTACTACCTTGTTAAGTTTCACAAGCCAGAAGAGAACGTGCTGCACACAGGTACAAGTAAATCCCTTGCTGGCAGGTTTGCAGAAACAAATTTTTATTTACACAGGCAAGTCTATCTTTAGACCCCATTTAACTCTTTACATTTCTAGAATATTTACATGAAGAAGAGAGTGATGAACAAAAAGATTACAGAAACTGTCAAAAGCATAGCAAAAAAAACCCAACCTATCATTGTGCTTTAAAACTTATGAGCTAGAATAACGTAGAAGAAATGTAGTTTTAGCACCTTGGTCATAACGGTCATGCTATATAAGACACTTAAATAGCAGAGGGGATTTCAGAAGTGACCGTATCCAGAGGTTGCCAGTGACAATTCATGAGTGAATCGTAGAGTTCTTCGCTTGTCTCCATAAACTTGTCTGTTCATTTCATCAACATCCAAGTAGAGCTGTGGATCTGAAAATAAAAGCCTGGTAAGTACAAGTATCGGATCTGAGGCATGCACACAAAAAGCACTCATGTGAAATGGCTGATAAGATGTATTTTAAGCTATATGTAATAAGCTATTAGACCTACTTATTTTAGTGAGATATTTAGTCCTCTAAAATGTTAAACCTCACAACTCCAACTTTTGGGAATCCTACGGGCTAGGACTGCATTATCTTTATCTTGAAAGACGAATAAAGATGACGTTTAAGGATAATCGGCCATGAGACCTTCCCAAGAGCCATTTAATTCACTTCTACTCTAATAGATGTTACACAAGATAGTTTCTCAACACTGACACAAAATGCCTCCACGTGAAAAACTCTGCAAACCTTCCAGGACACAATTACGTTTTGTACCAAATTTGTAAGAGCAAGCCGAATCCTCCTTTTGGAATCTGCAACATAAGCTTTTACCTCGGGGTGGAGAACAAAGCTTTTGCGTATTATTGAGTTTCTAATATAGAATCTGCTTAGTGGAATCAATATGAAGAGCAAAAATGTACTCAAAAATGTACTTACTTAGTACTTTGTGTCTACTCTGTTGCAAATTTTGCTGGAATCAGGAGTTGAAGTCTTTGCTGGTTTAGAATACCGGACCCGACGCATTGAATGAAGGTTTAACCTTGGTTTCACAAGTCTCTTTACAGGTGGATGCGGGGACTCATTCTGGGAGTCCAGCTTTGAAAGGGAAACAGCAATCAATTTATCCTGACGTCTACCCAAAATAATTCCAATATTTATTGATGAAAACAAATTACAGAACTATAAAGCTCCCATCGGTCTTGGCACTCTGTGAATACAATTTGAGAATTCCAAAAAGCATTCAACCTATAGAGGGAAATCACCAGAAAACCAGTAACAAAATCCATAAAGCTATATTTAAGTAGCCAAAGTCTGACTGAATTCCATTTCAAAATGTGGCAGTTAGCTTTGTAGACAAAATAATTCATGCTACCATAATTAAAATAACTCGGGTTCCTATATGTTCCTATCTTTTCCTCTGCCCACACTGATTTTTTTTTTAATAGCTTAATTCATTAATTTAACATTCAAAGCGTTAAGCAACTAATTATACAGGCTTCTGGGCTTCACATTCCCTACATTTTCCCCCTTCAAAGTTACACAAACAATAGAACACATTCAAAATAAAGTTGTCAATCTTACAATAATCTCATTCATTAAACTATGATCCAATGCTTTAGATGTGCATTTAGATGCACATCAAGTAGTGGGTTTGACTTCATTTTTCAACACATTTTCACAGACCAGAGTTACTTTTTAACACAGACCACCGCATGTTCTGCAGAACTGACTTAACTGAACTGTCAAACAGAAAACAAATCCTGAAGCCTAAAAGATTTACCAATGGCTCCACCTGCAGTCTTAAGGATCAGAAGATACAGTCTTAGCAAGTATGCTATTGTTCAAATCAATACCAACAGAAAATGGTTTACATTGCAGCTTTAGTTTCACAGTATCTCCCAACTCTTAGTAACAGAATTCACACCACCTATGAAGTGTACAAAAGTATATCTTTCTAAAAATTATTACATTCATTTTGAAACCTTGAATAAAATACGTTTTATGGAAGCTCACAAATCTCCTTCGAGTGAACGATGGTTCACTGCTGGTTTAAAGGTAAAAAAGAAAAATATTAATTCCCCCAGTTAGGCATTTAATACACCAAGAGCTATTCTGCCTGGTACAGTTCCTTGAAATAAGAAAAATACCACATCACTGCGACCCGCTGCAGAAGTTTAGCCTGAGTGCACAAGTGTTCTGTCAACCCCACGTTCACTTCAGCAGGAAAACACACAATCATCTCCTTCGCAAATAATTGCTTCTCATCAAGGGCTACCCTTCTCCTGCCAAGCATTATGAATTCCAGTATTATGAAGAGACAATCTATCTCCTTCTACCCAGTGACAGCTGCGTGCAACATTCATTTAGTGGCTGACAACTTCAGGCTTTCTGTTGCAAATCTGGCAGATCTTTCTTAATGCCTTATCACAGGTGTATTTCTATAGTAGAACTGAGAGTTCACACCAGATTTGTTTTTAGTTATTTGGATAATATTTATGATAGACTTCACTTCTCAATGCCTTTGTCATTTGGCATATGGTGAAAAGATGGCACAGGAAAGCTGACATGTTTGCAAACTCTCAAGTGATTGTAAACTTAATTACACATCCAATCAAGGAATTAGCACAGAAACTTCTTCAGACATTGTCCCTTTTCTCATTAGAACAGAAGATGAAGAGTGTGCACATCCTGTTCTTTCCTTCAGTCACCTCATCTTAAAGCGGTCCTTTCAGGGTTTTGCAATTTAATAAACCCAATGACACCCCTAATTAAAGTCACCAAAAAAAGATGACCGGTTTTCATTTTTTAAACAAAATGAAAGGAAATCATGCTTTACCACAGCACTATCACCAATTCTGTGCTACCTCCAAATAGGAATTCCGGAGCATAAGATTTATAGTGTCAGAAATTAACGATTTTCCTTGGTTTTACCTTGAATGGTGATAAAAAGCAGGAAAATAGTTTGCTGTGCCTAAATGAACACCCAAGTCCGTACAAAGTCTATATGACCAGTCAAGCAGTATTTTTCTGTTTGTGATCATTTCTTCAAGAGAAAAAATTTCCTCAACAGGAATTTAATATGCAGCTTCACCCCAAACTGGGGGACAAGATAAAACTACTTCGTGTGGTCTAGAGTCGTTGCTCTCAACTTACAAAGATAACAAATCTTAACGTGAGTAATCTTTACAGCCCTTCATCTCTTGTAGATAGATGCCAATATTAACTTGATTAGATGCGTATGTTGTCATTGAGGTTTGAGAAAATTTTTCTAATAGTGATAAAGCATTAGAAAAGTTATCTACCTCATCTTAAGACATTATTGGTTCTTACCTTTCTTCGTTTGGGCTGAAGGTCAGGAATATTCAGTTCATCTATGTCTGGAGGCTAAGGGAAAAAATAAAGCCTAAATGTTAGAGGGCTTTTTTTTTTTCCCTGAGAGAGGGTTCCCTGCAACAAAAACATGGGGGTTCATGGTCAACTTACAGAACTCAGCGGCAAAAGAGGTGGCATTTTTTCATCATCCTGTTGAAAAAATAGTGCAATAAGTTAAACTTGACACAACATAAGGAAGAACAGTTTTATCTTTCTCCTTTGATGGCACATTTACTAAGTTTTAGAACCACGTGAAGCAAAAACGGATTAAAAGAAGTGCTATTTACCATCAAAGGGCTTGACAGCTTCTCCAGTGCCTCCAAGATGCACCGTGCTGCGGTACTTAAGGTAGCGTGGGACTGCACTTTTTCTTGCCTAACTCTCCTTCTCATTTGTACCTGGAAAATTAGCATTTTAAGTGTTACAATGGTCAATCCCGAGTTAAGGAGGCATGTATTTTATGTTCCAAGGCTACACTGATGATATAACCAATATATTCTGATGACAGAGAAAAATGCAGTCACTGGGAGTTCAAGCCGTAAAGAAGAGTACATGCTGAGTACAACGAAGTTTACCTTGGGCCTCAGTGCATCTTGCTCGTGCTTGTTGCGCGAGTAATAAAAGAAATCCATACTTGTAAAAGGTCAAGACGGATGATGCTAGGACTGCTAAGGCCTCCAAAGCAGTAATCAGGGAAACAGAACTCAAGAAAAGGCTTGTGGTACAGAAAGTGCTTTCGCTAACAACACACACCTCAGAGTTTCACGATGGTGTAGGTGTACCATCTTAAAATCAGTGTATACAATCATAACCAGGAACTAGTTTTACTTCTCTCTTGCTTCCTCCCTTCCCCCAAGATTAAAGTTGGCTGCAAATCTTTGTTTTAAAAGATAAAGATCCGATTTCAACTGTAACAGATCTAAATATTACACTGAAAAAGTGAACTGTTTATTTGCACCACCCAACTTCAAATATCATGCAAAAACTTCCCTTGGTGTGACTTTTTTCTTCCCATGTTAAACCCCTCTGTGTTTATCACACGATATGAAGACAGGAAGCAGACCATGCAGCATATAAAAACACAAGTGAGACTCACAGAACGGTTACGGTTGGAAGTGACCTCTGGAGATCACCTGCTCTACCCCCTGCTCAAGCGGGGCCACCCCAAGCAGGTTGCCCAGGACCATGTCAAGTCAGCTCTTGAAGATCTCCAAAGAGGGAGACTCCACAGCCTCTCTGGGCAACCTGTGCCAGGGCTCCATCACCCGCACAGCAGAAAAGCATTTCCTGATGTTCAGACAGAACCTCATTTTGTTTGTGCCTGTTGCCTCCTGACCTGGCACTGGGCACCGCTGAAAACAGAATGGCTCTCTTTGCACCATCCCTTCAGGTATTTACATACATCAATAAGATCCCCCCCCCCCGAACCTCCTCTCCTCCATGCTGAACAGTCCCAGCAGTCTCGGCCTCTCCTCAGAGGAGAGGTGCTCCCAGACCCTTGATCGTCTTGGTGGCCCTTCGCTGGACTCTCTAGTACATCGCTGTAATCCACAGCAAGCAGCAATAAGCAAGCTTCTCTCTCCTTTAAAAGCCTAGTATTTTGGTTCCTCTTGTTACCATAATCCACTACTATTGTTAGAAAACAAAAATAGCTGACCAAAGAGGGTTCCCAGCTTTGAACCACAAGTTTTCAAGGTTTCCCCTAAGTGAGCTACTGCCCTTGTTCCATTGCAGAGCTGGACTGTCAGAACAGATCCAGCAAACCCATGTTTTCATTTCCTTAAAATTCCTTTTGATTTATTGATAAAAGTCAAATTGATTTAAATGCATTCCTACCAAACCTGATTTGACTTTCCTTTTCGATTCAGCTCTAGCTAATCAGAGTTGTCAGCAGTTTTTATTTGCTATTTCCAAGAACTCTTGGGGGCAAATACCTCTCTTCAAGAACTATATGAATCATTCAAAATAGAAAGCATGTTACTGCTTATCTTGGGACTGCATTTAGGCCTGCATGCCTCTACGTAACAGAAGAGCAAAGGATCAGCAAAGTTAATTTTAGATATTTTTAAAGAGCGCAGTTTTATACAACAGATCCATAGCATGAGTGCAGGCATGCTTGCAAAAAAAGATCCACAGATAAACATTGGCCAGGTTTGACTACTGTAGCTTTTGCTACTATAAACACAACTTTTCAAAGTTATGCTGCCATTGTTTTTATTTACATTAAAATAACACCATGCAATGTAGTCAGAGGCAGACAATGGCACTCAAATGGAACTTCTTGAAAGAAGTAACAACAGAGGAAACCCCAACTACCAACAACTAGCCTAAACTGTCATTCTTGCTCTTTCTGGCAAGTATTACCTGTGGTAAAAACTGCTAAAAAAAGAACTTAACCCGAAATCAATCTCTTCTATTTTTGTAGACCAAGAGGGCAGAAGAGCAACTGGTACCACATATTCAGCTCCCTGCTCAAAGCTCCTTTGGCAGTGCTGCTTTTTTATTTCCATCACTATTTCCCATTACCCTACTTTTCTCATACCCGATAAGGTTCTATCATCAACGGCTTTGATTTTCCAGCTGCACCACCATAGACAGTCTTTCCAGGGTAAAATGGAGAATACCCAGGCTGGTTTTTCTTACAGTCAGATGTGCTTCCGCGTGCCTACAGAAACACAGTACGTTAAGTGGACAGAAAACCAGCTACACATTCAAAGTGATTGAAAGAAAGACTGTGCAGTACTTACAGGAAACATTCCTCCAAAAGCAGATAAACTGAATGCAGGTTTCTTAGAGCTAGCTGCAGAATGCTGCGAGAGGGAATGAGTTCTATCAGCTTCTGTGGTCCAGAGCAGTGATGAAGAAGTATTTTTTAAAACTCCAACATCTGCCAAAGTGACATATATGTTAAATGTAAACGTCTCTAGTACATACAGAACTTTAACAGTAAAGACCACACTAATTCAAGTTCTTCAACACGGAAAAATAAACGTGGCTTCAGCTTCTTTAAACAGCTTCGTGTACAGACTGAAAATCAAGTAACAGCTACAAACTTGAAAACTGTTCACTGAGCTGCAAGTAGTTTTCAGCAATCTTAACAAGTTAATACTGTGCTTCCAGTGCAGAAGATTTTTTTTTCCTTTTGTGCTAAAAGCAAAGAGAACTGCATAAACATCAGTGCATTTGTACAGACAAAGCTTTTTTCTATGTTGGTGAAAGGCTGGAGGCCAGCACAGATCATAATTGCACAGGTTTTACACCTGGAAGATTCCTAGAAGGCTGCTCTAAGAGTTAACGATCTTCTTCCCACATATGTTTTACGACGACACACCAGAAAGTTGTAGTGCACTCAGGTTACACTGCTAAAGCCCAGCAACTCTACTCTCAACCATACACAAGTTCTCTGAAAAACCTGCTGAGGACACTTCAGTCCCTGTCTATCTGGGGGACTAGAAAAAGCTGCAAACCTGCTGTTTGCCCTTTCAATGAGAAGACCTAGGTACCAATCTACATCGACACAATGCTTATTTCTTATTTTAAAATGGTGTGCCTTCCTTAAGGAATTTGGCAAAAGACATGAAAGTATTGACAGCTGAAGCCTTCTACCAAGAAAGGTCAAAAAAACAGCCCGCAACGTGTTATGTCAGAGTACTTTCCTTATCTTCTCCTGCTAAAACACAGGAAAACATCTTGTGATTCTATTTGTCACCTACACTTATTCACATTTAACCAGATGTCTTGTCTGTTAGATATTCTGAGTCACTCTTCCTTCTAGACAATCAGCCTAGTTGTCAAGCTACAGCAAGTCAGCCTGATTTCCTACCATCCCAGTTCAAAATTTACATATAACCTAGCTGAAAGTGTGTATTTCAGCATCGACTCTTTGTAACAGCAGGGTATCACAAACCTATTCCAAAGCAGGCTTCTATTCAAAAGGTGATAGGATTATACGCTTCTAAAACACTAAAACAAATTTAATTCTTGCATCCAAAGCTGACATTCTCCTATTTTGTTTACTAAGGTGATGTGCAATATTAAAGAACGCAAAGTACTTCACCTTAAAAAAAAGTCAACTAAACAGAGAACAGAAAAATCACCTTTGTCAGATGCTCTAGAGGAGAAGCCACCGGTTCTTGACATGTTGTCATTGTCTTGTTGAGAGGTAGAATCTTTGATTTCTTTTATGAAAGAGAGTCCAGGACTGCCAATGCCAAATATTGAAGATGTCGTGGGCTGAGAAGGTGGGACAGAAGAATCCGACATGGTATAATTCAAATGGCTCCGATGAAGAGCGGGCCTTGTTAAGGCAACTGGGTAGTTCAGTGCTGAGCTACTTGTGGATGGTTCTAGACAAGAACAGGGAGATAATTAGCTTTGCTATAGACAAGCTCACAGAAGCCAAAACCTGTTTCCTATCAACAGCCATGCTATTGCCAAGTTCTAAGCGCAAAAATAGAGAAGCCAAATTTAACTTCTTCCTCACTCAGATACCGTTTCATCTAACTGTCTGGCTACAACAACAACACTGCTTGCAATACTGAGTATTAATGTTGCATTCAGAAGAAGTTAACTGTGAGGTTTCACAACACCAGATTCCGACCCCGTGTTCAAATGCTCTAACACTGACTTGGCCTTTCACCAAGTCAAACACAAATACTCCTCCTCGCATGTACAGCTTGCAAGAAGCTTTACAAAATTTGAGATTACATGCTAAGGCACAGATAACACTGCAGCTTATATAATGGTGGAACAAAGGTCATTAATCTAAATACACAGCATGAAAATGAACACTTGCAGTACTTTTTTTCCCAAGTTCTACCAGATCAGCTCATCTTAGAGGCAAAACACTACCTCCTACCCGTTAACTACTGGGATTTTGACCCAAGGGAAAAGTACGTTGACCCAAGTAACCAGATGAGCATTTTTCCCTCTTGAAGCAAAGGGTCTGCAAACAATGCCAGTGGCCTGATAAAAGCCTACAGTCTCCCCCGGGAATCTGGGCAATTAAAATGACTTTGCGCCACTATCCTCTTGATGCTCGCACTCAAGCTTAAACTAGTTAGTTCAATCTTCATAACCACTGCAGTACCACTAATTAGTTCTCCAAACCATGAGCAGATTTTTAGAACAGTACCGTTTGAGATACACAAAGTTATTCGGGCTGAAGGCCACCTAAGCAAGGAATATAGGCTCCAGCACATTGATACCTCAGAGCTGAAGAAACACATTTGTTTAAAAATGAAGTAATAATTTTTAAAAAATATCTTATTCTTAAGCAGAGCAAGTAACACCCACAGACAGCTACATAAGCTACAAAAGGTTCTAGGATGTCCACCTGCTCCTGATCTCCTGGAGTTAGTAAGCTTGCAGTGCAGCTGTTCTTACTGAAAGCTCCTTTCACACAGTTACATAGAAAAGCCAACATGTGTTCCTCAGTCATGAAGACCTTCTCTATTCTTTTCTCCAAACTTATTCCCAAGCTACAGCTACACAGAAAGCAATCAATCTCCTTGTTTACAATTAGATGAGATTGGAGGCAAAGCTATTTCCGCATTATTTTTTGATTCTGCCAACAACAGAAGCAACTGACTTTCCAGTTTACCTAGGGTTATCTACGCACACTCAGACCAAACTTCTTTACTTATTAAAAGCTGAGGTCCCCAAAACAGCTAATTTAAGAGAAACTCCAGTAAGAGTATGTGCGGATTTATACAATAAGACTACAGTAACAGTGAGAGGCATCGGATATAAGACAAATTCATCTTTCATGCAGTAAAGGGGTTACAAACCTCGTTGCCAACGCTCCCAATACCTTTTCAAAGACACCCCTTCCCCCTGCGTAGACCTTAAGGTTATTGAATATTTTAAGGATAATAATGTCATAAACCACATCCATGCACAAGTTCCCTAGTTCTCCATTAAGTTAACAAGGAACTTGACTAAATTGATCAAAGCCCAAAACAAAACCAAACAAAAAAAGTCAGGACTCGAGATGGAATTTTCCTGTGCCACTCTAGCATCTATTATTTTGTTTTGAAGACTGCAAAGCAAATTCATTTTTAATTGCCTTACGCAATTAGATTTTCATTCCGTTTCTTGTAAAATATGGAAAATGCAACCTAGCACACTTGCAAATGAGTTCTTTCCAGCATTTAGCACCTGGCTAATAGAGTACGTAAAGTTGACTGATGCCTTCCAAGAGCATAAGAGGTATGCTTCGTAATTGTGCGGACAGTTTAAAGCTAAGACAGTTTCACAAACAGTTGTTTCGACTTTCTTGTTTGTTTTTTCATTCTGTCAAAACCCTCCTTCCAATTTCCTTTTGATATTCGGATTCAAAACTAGAAATCTGTGAACAAATACAGGTGGCCAGAATTCCGAATGATTTTTCACGTACCTTGTCTATTAAGTGTCGCTCGTTCAGGCATGTATCTCCCATCATTTAGGGTACCTCCATCTGCGTAATTATGATGCTGGTTTACTGGAGTCGCCGCCTGGTTTGCAGATTTATTTGCAGCTGCACACTCATTCTCACGCTTATTGAAATACTTCTGCAGCCACGCCGGTACAATACTTTTCACCATTTCTGTCACTCTGCTAATTATTCCCTGCTTGAAAGAAAAAACACTCGTTTAATTACAGAAACACAGTCAACGGCATATGCTGGGATACAACTTTCCACGGACCCTGAAGACAGATATTATATAGCACATACTCAGAAGACGACGACAAGGTTGATCCTTAGCATAGGACCGCTATACTTCTGGTACACCTCAAATTCAGCTGACATTGATTTACGACTACTTACCGGTTTCTGCACTTCCAAGTGACCTTGGCAAAGTTCAAAATTTTGAAACTTCTGCCAAAATTCACCTGCAGGTTGTCAATTCGCAAGGGCATCAGGAAACTCTGTGCCTAAATACCTCCTGACCTACAGACTTGTTCCAGGACTCTTCCTCTTCGCGCTCTCACGTGAAAACCAACTAAACCTGCCTACAGCCACACGACGGGCTGCTCGCCTCCCTGGTGCGAGCAAACACGAAAGCTAACTCAGCAACCCCAACGCAATGACAAGTGGCAGGAGGTGATCAAGTTGAGCAAAAATCTGTTCATCAGTTGCTAACGCACGGGTCTGGCTGGGTCTGCACCAACAGCCCTGCTCGCCTGCTTCTCTGGTGTCAGGCAACACGATTGTCTAGTCTAAACCACTATTTGGGCGTCGAAAACTGGTAATGTAGTTTGAACATGCAGAAGTTACAGTCTAATCATTCTGAAACAAGAACTGTGCTGTATTCAACTCTTAAAACAAATTAGCGTAGAAGCCAAAACAAAAGCCTGAATCATTTAGGTTTTCCATACATGATAACGCAAACTGCGGAAAATAAGACAACCAGACAGCCCTGAATCTGGGGTTAAGAGAGAGGCATGGGAAGAGGAAGAAAGGAAGACCGAAAACACAAAGCCTTTCTCCAGAAAGACATCTTAATTCACGGTTTGACATTTTTCCTAGTGATCTGTAATTTCATCGTGTACTTGCACGAAGACAGAATAAATACCCAAGGACAGTTAAAACCACGCAGGACACCACCAAATAAACACAGCCATCACGGTTAAGACCTTAAAACGCACACAGGTACAAAATGCTCTGGATGTTGCTATTCTTCTCCAAAAATCCTACGCCTCAGCTTCCCTACAAAAACCATTAAACGCACGTAATGCCATAGCTGACACACAGTCCGACACGCGGTACCAGCGGAGGCAGCCCCTTCCTCCTCCCCTGCCCCTCAGTTCCACGTTCCCCTTTTATTGGGGCCAATATTCCTCTCCGATGAATGGAAGCCTATCAGGAACTCACATGGGTCCAAGTTTGCAAAAACAGACATTAGAATAGGCCTGCAGGATTCTGTTGCTGTGCAAATCCTCCCCGTACAGAAAGCGGCCCGAGACTCAAGACGGAACAAGTCACAGGCACTCAGAAGAGCAAACACCCCGTCACCTTGAATAACCTAAATGAGTAACTACAGAGCCTAGCTAGACGAATCATTAACCAAGATGACATTTTACCATCCAAACCTAAAGCCAGACTGCTTTGACCCTTTCTTGCATATGGCAGCCTGGCTGCTGCTCCCCGCATCAGTGGCAGTTTGAAGAAAGAACTGAACCCCGAATAATTTCTCCAGCCCTTTCAGAAGCCACAAGTGGGAAGTACTGACAGCCTGCTCCATCCGACCCGTGCATGGCGTAAGACAAGAAGCTTTGTCAATGCCAAAGCAAGGAAAAGTAAAATATGCTGAAACATACCTCCAATTTCCTGCTGCACAGCAAAAAGGTTGATTAAATGACCGCAAAAGAACAAGGCAGGCGCTGTGAATGAGCCAGAGCCTGCCATCTAACATCGATATTGCCAAAAAAAGAAACAAACGCTCCCCCCAGAAGTAAAACACACCCTGCACACGTGCCCACTCACGACAAGGTTCAAGAAATTGAGGACTTCCCAATGGTGTCTCCCACCTGCCCGTCACAGCTACAGACCCAGAAATAAAGCACCACATCCCAGGTTCCCTACTGCCATCATTAATCCCTCTAGGGTTTAACACCCAACAGGCTGCTGCACAAGCCCCCTGCTTTCAGAGGAGGGAGCTGCTCTGGGGGCTCCCCATTGCCACAGGACAGGCAGTTTCACCCCAGCCGCATGGAGCAGCGCTTCAGCCGGTGACTGTGCTCCCGTCCTTCAGCAGACTCAGCATTAGCCCACTGATTTCAGCAGCCTGAGAGCTGCCGTCAGTCTCAACAGTTGCCTGCTCGTCTGAAACGCACTCGCACGCTATTCTCGTCCTAAAATAGCAGCAGGAAAGGAGAACAACACAGCACACCAAAAAATACCCCCTGAAAAGGCCCAATAGCTTACTAATAGGGATTTACAGCAGCTCCTCAAATGCTGCGCATCCCAAGAGCCCGCAGCCCTGCTACATACCTCTCTGGCAAGGTCTACACACACCAAGCAACAGTAGCTACAGTTACCAGAGGCAAGCTGCCTTCAGAGGCATCCCGAAACAAAAGATACAGAGGGGGAAATACCAGTAACAACCAGGTGTCCTAGTTTACTACTTTGAAACACCATTTCTTTAAACGGTTTATATAAAGGGAAAAAATAATGTTACAGTTTAACTTCCGAACTTAAAAGCGGGCTATTTCTTGGCAAAAAATACTTAAGGAATAGGACAGTTCTCCCAGCTTGCCAGGGGTCTCTCACACAGCAATGGGGGCAAAAGTATTGGCAGGAAGACTTGGCAACGATGCCTTACTGGAAACCGTCTATTTTTGTAACAGAGCTGATGTCAGTATGAGAGACTTAAGTAAATCCCACTCTCTGACAAAGGACGGACTAAAACAATTATCCAGAAAGGCAACACACTAACACAAATTCTTCAGAGATGCAAAAAGCACAACCCGATAAAAGAGCTAATTCATTAGATGCACACCTCTATCAGCATCAACTTTTTACCTCCAGCTGAACTCTGATTCTTGTATTTTCATTTTCTCCTCCAATTTCAGGAGTCTCAGGTCTTAAAGCATACGAATCAGTAAATCCTCAAAAAGAAAGCCTGCACCTGAGGGTGAAGTTCAGCGAGCGGCAGCGGATCGGAGGAAGCGCTTCCCACCACCAAAAAGGGCTTCCAGGCTCTCTCCATCCCCCACGGTTACCTTGTGCCAGCTCTGGCGCACAGCAGGCTGCCCTCCCTGCTGGCTGCATTCGTTAAGCTGGCAAAACGCACGGGTTTCCCTGCTGGACTAATGAATTCAGCTGGCGTGGTGCAACGCAAACGGCCCAGGAGGGAGAGCAAGATCAAGCAGCCAGCACACGAGAAGGAAGAAACGAGACCTCTCCCTCCTTTTGATTGAGTGTGCGCACACCATGCGGGTTGTATCAAACCGACCCAGACAAACATTCACCTGTGGGCTGTGATGTATTTTGGGGGCAGCCCCGGGGCCAGCTCACCGTGTGCTTACACAGGCGCTGGTGCCAACCCCGACGTGATCCCCTCTCTTGTGCAGCAGCGCGGGCTCAGGCTGCCTGCGGACTAACCAAGCTCTTGCTGTCTAGGGAGTGCGTTCGGTTTGGATGCAGGACAGCAGAGTTTTTCAGTTAGAAGAAAAAGACAATAAAGCTTACGACTTAATATGAACAGTATGTTACAGGAATGTCATTAATTACGCGACAGTGGAAAAACCAACCACTTCATTGAAAGCAACTGGACTAGTTCAAATTTATTTCTAAAAATCGTGAAGAAGGGATTATGCTTCCCCATGCCAAAGCGAGCCTCCTTTTCCTTACCGTAGCTAGCTTGAGAAGGAACCTCCCAGGGAAATTCTGCTGCTGCTTTACATTTCAGCGCTGCTTGATGATTTCTCCCATGAAGACACAGCCCACTGTTACCATTTCCACCCGAGTGCAAAAGGCCAGTAGATGCTCTGACAGCTAAATCAGTGTCTAACTCGCTAGGTTAAATCCTTGTGGCGCTGAACGGCCTTATCTCAAGCTTGGTCCACACCTTCAGCCGACAACATTTCAAGAGAGGGTGCAAAGCACAAGACACCTTCCTTCTTGGTAAAAAGCACTACTTTAGGCTGTCGCTAATCCTCAGCAGAGATCAGTGGTGGTGCTGTAGATCTGAGCGCACGTTTTGTGCTACACTTTGAGATAGACACCTATCAGCACCAAAACCAAACGTTGAAGACCCAGGAGCAGTCTTAGGCGAGTGTGTTCTTAAACCCAAGAAGGGACGCATAAGTACGGTTACTATTCTTTACTGAAAGACTGCTTCACATATGCAGCGTGTCTGCAGCTAAGTCTCAAAGCCAGTCTATAGAACCGCACTAACAAAATGCAGTTCAGATTTGGTTTTCCCTTACCACACGGTCTAAACCAATTATTCTGACTCAACAAGCACAACGACAACTACAACAATACCTGGTATGAGGATAACAGACTCTGGCATAACCCAGGAGACAAGAAGTTTAAAGTTTTCAGAATTAAGATGATCAAGAAATACACTGCCCATAGCACCAGATGGTCTTTACAGGGCCATTAGCAGTTACCAGATTTAGCAAGATGGATGGTAACATACTTTTATATTTAGGATTTAAGTCGACAACGTGATGCCTAAACTGCCTATCTTATTTCCAGGTATTCTCCATTAAGTAAAACACAATTCATTGCAGCAGTTCACCACCAACCAACGTATTTGCCAAAAGAAACAGCAAACTCCCTATTCCCCCCACTTATTCTAAGTCAATCTGTGCATACGAAGGCACACCACATGCTACAGATCCGCTACCTCCAACAACACGCTTGACTCCCAGCAATGAATTAAACAATATTTTCAGTGCCACTTTGCCTAAAAGCACTCGCAAGCTACAGCTCGCAGGCGGGAGGACACGTTCTGCAGGTCAAACACAAGCAGGGGCAGGCCAAGTCCCACAACAGCTTCTAAAAGATGGTTAAATGCCACTCGAGGGCAGCTCACTGCTTGATGCTCATCGTCCCCGTGCCCAACGCTTTCTAGTGCAGAAGAGACGTTACAGGTAACCTGAAACACATCTCACAAAC